GTAGCTTGCGGGGTACTCGAGTTTCCCGCTTTTCAAACGCGGAGATACAAATGAACAGAGCGCGTGCTCTTTCGGGTCGAGAAGAAACAAGTGGTTGCTATTGGCTGGTGCGCAAACTCACATGCTCATCTCCTGCGTATGGTTAAGCCGGCGCCCACGCGACTCGTCTGCATTGACCCCTTCGCTGCAAACATTCTCGTGCTGCTTCGTCTTTTGCAATCGGCCTCAGCACCGTCATGCAAATCGTCTTGACGAGATTTTAGTTCTGCGCAGTCCCCCGATTGTCGAGTTCTCCCGTGCCTTCTGCTCGAACATACTCATGACCGATGCAGCTTTTTGTGCCGAGGGGGTTCTTCGGAAGATTTAGACGTAGCTTCTGGCGATGGGTCGGACGTTTCTCAGGAAATGCGCGACTGCGCTCGCTTTTGGAACACGAAAGCGCCGACCGCCTATTCCACAGTATTCATGAAAACCCCCAGCAAGTCCGCAGTCAGTCGGTGATAACCAAGTCACCCTGGATCCTCGGCCGTCAACAAGCTTTTGCAACCCAGCGGACAATGCAGAGGTGGCATCCTAGCTGCGGCGGCTGCATTGCATTTCCGATGGAGGTGGAAATGTTGTAGGCCCGTGTGCTCAGATTTGGGTGCACGTTAAAGAACCCCAGGTGGTGGAAATTTCCGGAGCCCTCCACTACGGCGTCTCTCATAATCATATGGTGGTTTTGGAACAACGTTAAACCCCACATACCAACCAACCAATGCAGAGGTGGCGCAACGCAGGTGCCTGTCCGAGTCATCAACAGAAGGCATGCTTATCAATGTTATTACGCATCAGCATGCATGCTCTCCTAACCGGGATCGGCCTGTTCAGCATGACTATGAAACGATCAATGCGGAAATGACAAGCGCGTCGGCAGACACCGTCAATGAACGAAGTGGTAACAAGACTTTGCGCGGCGAGCTTTGTGCGATTTAAGGACATATTCAATCATGCTTCCTGTTCGCCGAAACGACAAAGGCGCAGTCAAAAACAGTTTGTGAGTCGCTCGGCACGATGTCCGCAACTGAGCGGAAATTCACACTGATCGCATCTCAGGAACGTGAAACGATATCTGCGCCTGAAGGATACATGCTTTTTTCAGATGGCTGCTCCCAGTCATTGATTGGAAAAACACTCTGCCCAATTTGCCATGAGCAAAACTTTGCTTGGGCTTGCCGTGAAAATGGTGCTAAATTGTTGTTCTTGTGGCACAGCCATGCCTCACCGCAGTGGTCTAGTGGCTAAGGTACTCGGCTGCTGACCCGCAGGTCGCGGGATCGAATCCTGGCTGCGGCGGCTGCATTGCTGATGTGGGCAGAAGTGGTGTAGGCTCGTGTGCTCAGATTTGGGTGCACGTTAAAGAACCCCAGGTGGTTGAAATTTCCAGAGCCCTCCACTACAGCATCTCTCATAATCATATGGTGGTTTTGGGATGTTAAGCCCCACATATCAATCAATCATTGTGGCACAGCCAGCTCTCACTGGTCGTCAAAGAGTAAAGAAGGTGCCAGAGTCTTTGATATAAATGTTACATCAGTTCAGGCAATCAGGAGCATTGGAAAAGGACCTACTGCTAAAACAACTTCGGTCACTTATAAATGATATTTACAAATGTCATTTATGAATTAATAAATGACTACTGCTATGACTTATGTACAGGCTGTCAAGAATACATATGAAGAAATAGAAGCGAACTTCACGAAAAACATTACTGTTGTACAATGGCACATGGCTAATTTGTGGGCACAGCTCGCACATTGGTGTAGTTTGTGTAATTGAATTTTACACTGGTGTGGTGATTGACTCCACAGTGTTGTCTAATTTTTGCCTTGGGTGTGCGCTAGGGCACTGGAAAGCCACCCTACATACGAAGAATGGAGGAAGGCACACCAGTGCCAAAAAAACACCGATGTAGGTGAAGGGCGTATGGAGGTTAAAGCTGCACCGCAGCTTTTTGGGCGCTCGATCAGCGAAAATGACTTCAGGTACACAAATGTGATTTGTGATGGAGACAGCCGCACCTATGCAGCCCTATGCAATGTTCAGACATATGGATTCACCACTCACAAAAAAGGACTGTGTGAACCATGTCCAGAAAAGGATGGGCACTGCGCTCTGCCCTCTTGTGAGCAAAGCAAAAAAGGGAGAGACACTTGGATGAAGAGGTGGCCTTCCGCAAGATCTTATAAAGAGTCTCATCAGCTATTAAGGCCTGGCCCTGCGAAGCAACTCAGATATGCAATATATGCAAGGGGCGGTGATGGCTGTGATAGTATGTGCCGTAGTTGTGAAACCGAAACTCATACCTCGTGTGTGTGCCATGCGGTGGCGAAGAGGATGCGATTCATGCGCGTATGTGCTGGGCGGAATCGACGACGAAGACTGTGACAGCTCGTGAGCAGCAGCCTCGCAGGTTCGTGACCAACATTTCGGCAGTGGGAGGTGCTGTGTTCGAGGCAGGACTACCTCGCTTATTGTCTGGCTTATAGGCTCCACCCCAGCCACGTCGCTACCTTTCCACCAGCTGGGTACTCAGCCTCCACTAGGTGACAGGCCCAGGACGGCCAACGTGGCGTTCGACTCGCTGGACGAATGGTTCAGGAGAGCTGGCACCAGGTTCCTGACCCTGCCTGCCTGTTCCTGAGCCAGGGTTTTTGAGCCAGGATTCTTGAAACCTGGCCTTGCCTCGCTGGTCTAGGAGGGCTAGCGTGGATCTTTGTGCCGCCTGCTGGTGCCCATGGGCACAACTACCTGCCGCCGCAGCACATCTGTCGTTGACTCCGGTTAGCCGATTGTGGCGTTGAGCCAACCGAGTTGTCACCGCACGCGTAGGCGCTGCATCAACAGGACGTTGCCAACCTGAACTGTAGGCCAAACATTCTCTTTATTTCACTGGCTTGTCCGCGTGCATATTAGCCCTAGTGTGTAGTTATGTATAGGTGCTAAGTGTGTGGAATGTATGTGACGTGTGTTTGTGTACTGGCATACTGTCTACTTCTTTCTGGAGCGGTCTTGCCCCAATATAACTTCACAATGGCAACTCTCCATAATTCATTCACTGATGTCGCACGCCGTCATCAGCTGTGTCCTCCTTATGCCCAATGCTGGTGCAGGCACCGTTCGGCAGAAGCCACCACCTCCACATAAGTACAACATTCTCAGCAAGGTTATAGAAGCACTGCGACCCATCTATCAACGCCTTTCCAACTGTTAACCGCTGGCTCTATGTAGCGACAACAAGACTCAAAATTCTGCTGAGAATCTCCAATCGGTCATTTGGTCACTGATATCCAAACAGTAGCAAAGTATAATGCAGGCAGCTTGCGAACTTACGCCGAGATTTGCACGGCACTAAGTGTAAAACCTGGAGCCGTTGCCTTGCAGAGGGCTGCAGAAAACAACAACCAGCGTGCTAAAAAATTGTCAAACATGCACCAGATGAAGAAGCAGAGGACCAAAAGGCCACCTGCAGGCATGGACAGCAAGGACTACTATTCTGGCGCGTTTTGATGAAGGTTGTAGTGTACACCTATCCTGCAGGTGTACGGCCTCTAGTGTGGGTCCGGTCTTAGCGAGCTGCAGGGCACGCATTAACTGTCGCCGTGGCGAGAACACGGTACTGCTCAAAGTCACAACACTTTATTGCCTGCAGCAACACCAAGAACGCAGTACAGAGCTCATTGCAACAGGGGCAACTGCAAAGCAAATCGGCTTATCCGCGCCACGGGCGAGAACTACACAGGGTGCGGCGAGCACGTCTCCGTGGTTCATAGTGACACCAGGCCAACAAGGCCCGCCCGGTCGCTTGAGAGAGGGCGAAACTCCAGTCTCATTGGCTTTGAGAGATACGGGTCGGCGTAGTACGACCACGAGCGAAGACACCGCACCGCTTGTTGGCCTAGCGTTCGAAAGGGACAACAAAAGGTGAGCGTTCGTCGCGAGGGCAAGGCGCCGTTGGTGAAGTCTGACGATCCCCTAACAATAGGAGCCGACGGATGGAAAAAAAATGCATGCTCACCCTCAGTCGTCCTGGAGAGATCTGACTCGCTCCTGACGTGCGTGCAAGACTTCCCAAGACTCCACGCACGGCGCCACAGTCGACATCCACTACCGAGTGAGAGGGATTAATCGGCACTCCCACTCCCCCAGCGCGAAAGACCGCTGAGGAGGGAAGAGTCATGGCAGGACATGAGAATGGCTGAAATAGATGGCAAAGCCCGCGCTATGGCGGCGGGCTAGCCTCAATGCTCACAAGGTTAAGTGTCATAAAAACTTTGAAAGCCTTTTTCTCTGAAGTGTGTTTTGGGCACTTAGTGTTGCTTGTGAAAAGTATAGCGTGGCAGTGACTGGGCCAAATTATATATTTTTTTTTCATTCCTTGAAGCCTCGTTGACAGGATGGCATTATTCATTACTTTGCTAACGATCTAGTTTTTTTATGTGATAATTAGTGCATGCAAAGCTCTGATGCAATACATGAAACTGATGGGGATGTTATTTGTAAAACAAAAAAAGGAATTGGCAATTTTCGATAATGCCATCCTGTGTCGTGTTTTTTTAAATTGATATCGAAACCCCTGTGACCTTCCTGGAATGGTTTGTTACAATGCTAGGCTTTTCACCACCAGACTGTCATCAGATTATGTAATGTAGTATAACTTGGAAACTACTTGAGATATTGCAATGAAACTTCATATATAGCTATTCGAGACAATCTTCAGTATGCCTGCCAAATTTCGTTACTGTAGGTCAGCAAACAAAAAAGATTTTTTATTGCCTTACAAGGGTATGTTGTCAAATAAGTTTCAGGCATATTTTCTATTTTGAATCATCGACCTATTTCATCAGCTCCTTGACGTTATGAAATAGTGTTATGTCTGAAGTTCACTTTGAACGTTTGTTCTGGCAATACAGTGTGTGGCACTTGTAAATTGTATTTATCGGCAAATTTTTTTTTTTCAGGTGCTTGGCATTGTGGCAGGTGTATTGCTTCAGGATCATGAATCACGGGGCCTGGAGTTTCAACAGCTTCCTTACCATCACATTTTTATGATGCTTTTCCTTGAGCTGAGTGCATCGAGGCAGTTCTGGAAGCCATTGGCTTTCATGTGTTGATGGCCTTCTGCAATACTCTGCATGTTACGCAGCCATGCAAAGCTCCTGCTTTTGCTTACTCCTGGCTAGAACTCATCTCACACCGTGTGTTTTTGGGCAGCTCCTTGCTCTGACTCCACAACAGAAAGCATGGGGAATGTTTGCCCCGCTGCTCAATGACTTGTTCAAGTTTCTGGCTCCCTTGCTTCGCATTGTGGATCTTGAGAACCCCATCCAGCTTCTTTATAAGGTAAGCCTGAAACAACCCTCTGGGCTTCCTGTGCTTCTGCAAGACGTATCCCTTCTCTCTTGCAGGGCACGTTGCGGGTGCTGCTGGTGCTGCTCCATGACTTTCCACAGTTTCTGTGCGATTTTCACTATGATTTCTGTGACTTGATTGCAGCAAACTGTATTCAAATGCACAACCTAATCCTTAGTGCATTTCCTCAACACATGCGACTGCCTGATCCTTTCACTTCGAACCTGAAGGTGGAAGTACTGCCAGAAATAACGCAAGCCCCCTAGAGTCCTTACTAATTTCGCTTCAGTCATCCAGCCTCAGAGCTTCAAAAAGGCAAGTGTTGAAACATAGAACATCTATAGTACTTGACTCTCTTGTTGTCTCTTCTTTGTCTATGATGGGGGCGCATCTGTGGTCTCAGTAAAGCCTGATTATGATTTACACATTTTTAGGGATAGAGATTATTTTGCTCTTTATTAACTTCTAGACATGACAGCCCAGAGTTTGTAGTTTCACACATTTTACAGCTGAGCTGTCTTGCCTCCCATCTGTCCATTTTGTGATGTAGATGGTAAACTATCATACTGGTGTGCACTTTCTTCTTGACCTGCTGCATTTTCTCAACACGCGTGGCTGGGGCGTGCTACCTTGCGGCACCGATTTGTCTTGTGTGGGATGCAATAACTCAGATTGTGAAAGATTAAGTACAGGGAGAGGAAATATACAGAAAGAAAGCTCCTACTTGGAGCCTGTCAGGTCTTTACAAATAAGTAAATAAAGAGAAAAACATCAAAAGACAGAAAAAAGAAACGGATACAAAAAGATTGAAACGGACACAAAAAAAAAAACAGAGAAGAAAGAAAGGGGGCAGAGATAGAAACATATGCAAAAATATTTTAATGCCAAGAGATATCCAATCGAACCCGATCGATACTTAGCCATACTCGTGATTTACGTGTCATCACGTGAACACACTGTGCATTGGCACGTGCCTATACTCGGGGACAACTGTTTCTGTGGCAATGAAAGGGCATGTGCTATCGGCGTGTGTCACCACTGCAGAATATAGCGCCACAAATGCGTCTGTTTTCTGCGTGAAAATTATAAAAAAACATAATTATATCTTCTACGGGATGCTGTTTATAAAGAGACACTGAAGGAACCGAGGAGATATAATTATTTGTTTTTCTTTATGAAGTGTGATTTGGTATTTTGGGCGTGAGAAAACGTTACACATTTAGTTGCACGTCATAATAAAAATGGCGTCTTCGCCTTTAGGAGAGTGCAAGTCGCCCTCTAGCTATTCTCACGACTCACCAAAGGAGCTTGTGTCGAATTTCCTTCATAAATGGCTGTGTAAGCAGATGTAGCAAGATTTATGCTGTGTTATTATTCGAACATGGTCGCTATTCGAAAAGCAAGTCTAGCTGGACTGCTTCACAAAGGAGTACATGTGCACTAGCTCCGCCCCCGGTAGCTTTCCCTTTATTGCCACAAACTTGCCACAGAAAATTGTCCCTGGGTATAGTAAAGCCAGAACCATGAGTAGTCAGTACTCGGCCCCAGCCTTGCACAACTCGGTGATAGCTGCACAAATTGTTTTGTAAACATTTCTGCACAATATGTTGAACACACTTTTTTTTTACCATACATTTGTAGCTCTGTAAATGTGTTGTTGTTTTACATTTCGCTGACTCCCGTGCCTTTTTAGTGCTCCTTATTAACTCATTCGTTCCTGCACTATTCAAATCGATCACCGGTGGTTGACTCTTTGGTTCATCAATTTTGGCCTGGTATATATGTTTCTCGTGCACCCAGCACTTTCTAGTAGTTAGTCCAGCCACTCAACTTTCAGAATCAATTTGAGTTTGCCCATTTCAGCAACATAGTGATTTGTGAAAGTCGTATTGCGCGAACCAATGTGCATGTGTTGTTGGAAAAATGCACTAACTGGCACACTTGAGAAAAGTGCGTGCCCCTCATGATTACGCTGCAGTAGCATTGAAGGCTGTGGGGTTTATACGTCTTCTGTGCCTGCGCCACGCCATGCAAACAACTTTATAAGGGGGTGTGCACCCCCACAAGTCTGTAATCAGAAGAACCTTTGCTAGCCAAATATCAAATTATAGAGTCAGCTTTGCAATTTGACAGTGTTTAGCAGTAATAATTCCCAGAAATTATTCCAGCTATTCAATAAGAGCTGTTGCTGGAAGTCAGGCAAAATTTATTCTACAAAAAGTATTTCCGAAGGTCTGTCTATGTTTGAAGTTTCGAGTTGAAGGCTTCTGAGCCAGCTTCCAGCAGCTTTGGTTTCACTTGTATCGTTATATCAGACACAGGGTCGGATCTAGTGTTACTATTCCCTCCTATGGCGTCGTCACATGCGCATGGGCATGCACCAGTGCTGTAAAACACACGTACCGCTCGAAACTGCCTTGCAACCCTCCTGTACTGCATGAGGATGAGCTTAGGGTCCGTAGACTACAGAGCCCAAAAAAACTTCAAGTTGCGTGGCAATCATGTTTTGCGTCAGCCCGAGACATCTGCAGCTGTTCATGGGTTGTTTTGTTTACAGACTCAAGTTGTCTTCTCCGCCACAAGTGCATAGCTACTGACCTTTATGCATGATCTTATAGCTACTCTGGTTATGTGCAAGGTCCACACTTTGCTGTGGCACGGTGTGCTGTGGCGGATGCAGAGCATCTCCTAACGACGAAAAGGCAACCAGAGCATATCTTGGTTCTGACTACAGAGCAGCACTGTGATGTACGTGATATGTGTGCAAAAGATCTTCAGTTCTCCAATTTGTGCGCGGTAGTGGAAAACAACTGTGAGGACACTGGTGCACATGAAAAAATGCACCAATGTGGTCAGCTTGGGAGGACAAAGACGACGATTTAAGACATCAGCATGAGGACACTGTGTCAGCGGCATGAGAGTAAAGGGGCCCAACCAGCAGGTACCACGAAGATTTCAGGCGCCAATCATTTGTTGATGCGCAACCCAGAAAGCCCCAATTCCGACGGGTCGACCCAAGGAGTGCCACGGCAGTCGGCGAGGGGCTCTTGGATCGGTCAGGCAGAAGTAGGGTGGAGGCAGTTCGCCAGCATTACGGTCGTGCTTTGCCCCGAGTGCCTGGCAGAGGTCAAGAGTCAGAGCGGCCTGCTTCGCTTGACCTCAAGCTTCGACGGTCCAGGGAGCCAGGGGAAGCCACCGGGTCCACTGTCTGGCATTAGCCTGAATGCTTGGCTGTGGCCCCTGGTCCATGCGTCGGAGAAGAAGACTGCCTGCCTTCGTCGGCCCAATCTTCGGCACCAACCTGCTCCGTCGGTGCATACGCCTGAGCGTCACACTCCTCCTCGCAGAGTTCCTCCTCTAATGGCATCCCTGTGCTTGTGTGTGGCTGCATTTCCGATGGAGGCGGAAATGTTGTAGGCCCGTGTACTCAGATTTGGGTGCACGTTAAAGAAGCCCAGGTGGTCAAAATTTCCAGAGCCCTCTACTATGGCGCCTCTCATAATCAAATTGCGGTTTCGGGACGTTAAATCCCACATATCAATCAATCAATCAATCAATCAATCCCTGTGCTTAGTGTCTGCTCTTCGTGGACGTCCGCGACGCCTCAGTAGCAGTTTTGCTCACCGGCGAGACTGTTTTGGTTATTATTGGACTAGGCTTCTTTTGCGATGCTCAGAGCATTGTACATAGCTTGTAAGTTGTTTTGTTCTCATTAGTGCGTGTTGTGTGTTTCATATTCGTGTGTTTGTTTTTATAAAGTGTGTAAAACAGAAGCAGCCTCGCCGATTTTCTTAAGAGCTTTGCTGTCTTCGACAGAGCGCGCTCTTATTGGTCTCTTATTCCAAAGTAAACCTTTTCATATGGCTAGTTCCTTCCCCCACTCCCTGATCGCCCTCAAAAAAGAGGGCGCACCGATGAAGTCTTCCAGTTTTTTGGTCACCAGAGAGTATCCTTTCTGCGATTCCACGTTATTCACGCTGACACACCCGGCAAACCAGTGCGAACACTTTCACCTTTTCTTGTTTCGAAGTCTTTGACAGCAATCTTTGGCCCAGGATATAAAGCATCGAGAATGGCAAGGGGTGACCTCCTGTTGGAGCTCCGTGACCAGAAACAATATGAAAAATTGTCTAATCTAGTGAAATTTGGAGATACCAAAATCATAGTAACCCCACACCGAACCATGAACACCACCCGCGGTGTTGTTTCAGATGATGACCGGCTAGGGCTGACGGAGGCTGAACTCCTGGAGGGTTTCAGCGAACAGAATGTCATCAACATGAAACGAATTAGGATGAGACGTGATGGCAAAGAAGTCCAGACTAAGCACCTAATACTTACGTTTAATTCAAGTGTACTGCCCGACTCCGTTGAGGCTGGATACATCAAGCTTTGAGTCAGGCCATATATACCAAACCCTCTACGATGTTTCAAATGCCAGCGGTTCGGCCACAGTTCGCAGAACTGCCGAGGCCGCCTCACTTGCGCGAATAGCAGTGCTGAAGAACACACATCTGATGCCTATGAAAACTCTCTTCACTGTGCGAACTGTAATGGGGAGCATGCCGCATACTCACGGTCATGGCCATGCTGGAAAAAAGAAAAGGAAATTATTACAATTAAAGTAAAACAAAACATTTAATTTAAGGAGGCACGAAGGCAGGTGTCCTGCCTACCAGAAACTAGCTTTGCCGAAGTGGCGCGTCAGGGGGCAGCGCCACGACGGCCCCCGGCGGCTGTCTGGCACACGTGTAGTGAGCTGGCGGTGACGCCATCCGCCCCCTCGGCGGTTGCAGCCAGTGCTGCTCCGCCATCTAAGAAGGACCCACCAACCTTCGGGCTGGGGGCCGCGAAGGCCTTGTCTTTTGAGGCGAGGCCCTCAAAACAAATGCAGCGCTCGCAAGAGCGCTTGTCCAGTGCCTCGCAAGAGGCAATGGACACAACTCCGAGCGTGAGGGCGCAGCAAGCGCCTAAGGATCGGCGCGACTCCGTCGACCGATCCAAAAAAGAAAAATCTCGTGTCACAGCCCCTGGAAAGGGTCCGTAAGCTTACATTCCATTCTTGAGCACACAACACAAAACACATCTAAAATGGACACACAAATACTACAGTGGAATGCCAGAGGTCTGTTTAATAACCTAGATGATATCTAAGACTTGCTTAATGACTATCAGCCAAAAGTGTTCTGTGTTCAAGAAACTCATTTAAAGTCGACTCATGTGAATTTTTTAAATCAATATGTGGTTTTTTGTAAAGATCGAAATGGTGGCAATTTCTCTTCTGGAGGTCTGGCCATCATTGCACAAAAAAACGTAGCATGCCAGCACATTGTGCTACAAAGCTCTCTTGAGGTTGTGGCTGTTCGCGCTATTCTATTCAACCGTCTTATATCTATCTGCTTGATCTACATAGCCCCTGATAAACCATTCAATAAAACAGAGTTCGAAAAGCATATTGATCAGCTTCCAGAACCATATGTGTTAATTGGAGGTTTTAATGCTCACAGTTTGCTATAGGGTGATACCAAATGTGATGCGAGAGGTCGTGCAATAGAAAACTTTCTTCTCGCATCTGGAGCCTGTCTGCTCAATAAGGCAGAGCCAACATACTTCAGTACCACACACAATACATATTCATGCATAGATTTAGCCATTGGGTCACCGTCACTCCTACCTTACTTAGATTGGAAAGTTATTAATAATCTATATGGAAGTGACCATTTTCCAACTCTTTAAGTAACAAAACAACGGGATGACCGGCCGTCTTATCCTAAAAAGTGGAACTTTCATGTTGCAAACTGGGTGAAATTCAGAGAGCTATGTACACTACACCTCGAAGAGGTAGACCATTTGGACGTAGTAGAGATGGCCAACTATATTTCTGAATACATTCTTACTTGTGCAAAAAAGTGCATACCACAGTCCAGGAATGATAAGGTTAACACAAAGCCATGGTGGAATCGGGAGTGTGAAATTGCTAAAAAACGGCAAAACAAAGCATGGAGGACTTCGCTACCCAACAGCAGAAAAATTGATAACCTTTAAAAGTTGCAAAGCGAATGGCAGGCGTGTTCGCCGTATAGCCAAACGAGAAAGCTGGGCACGCTATATATCCTCAATAAACTCCTACACAGACGTCAGCAAGGTTTATAATAGGGTGCATAAACTTAAAGGACAAGGCCCAAATCCCTTCGCTTTGGTGAATGACTGCGGTGATACAATAGAAGAACAGGCAAACGCTCTTGGCGAACACTTCGAGAAAATGTCAAGCTCAGAAAACTATACCACTAAGTTCTTACGCCACAAAAGCATAGCTGAAAGTGTACCTCTGTGCCGGAACAAGCCTGTATGAGACGGATACAATAAACCACTAACACTGTATGAACTGAAGCTTGCCCTTGGTTCCTGTGGAAGTTCTGCTCCTGGTTCTGATACAATTACCTATGAAATGATCAGAAATCTCCCTGATGAAACCCTGAACTGCCTTTTAGCACTTTAAAACAAGATTTTCAATACCGGCAAAATACCATCTGCTTGGAAGGAGGCAATAGTACTACCAATCCTTAAACAGGGCAAAGATCCCTCTTCGGTAAATAGTTACAGGCCTATCGCCCTCACAAGCTGCCTACTCAAAGTGTTTGAAAAAATGATTAACTGCCGCTTGGTCTATTACTTGGAATACAACGGCATATTGGACCCGTGCCAGTCTGGTTTCCGTACAGCTAGATCCACAACCGACAATCTTGTCCTCCTCGAGTCGCGTATACGTGACGCATTTGTACACAATCAATACTGCCTGTCTATTTTCTATTTTGAATCATCGACCTATTTCATCAGCTCCTGACGTTATGAAATAGTGTTATGTCTGAAGTTCACTTTGAACGTTTGTTCTGGCAATACAGTGTGTGGCACTTGTAAATTGTATTTATCGGCAAATTTTTTTTTTTCAGGTGCTTGGCATTGTGCAGGTGTATTGCTTCAGGATCATGAATCACGGGGCCTGGAGTTTCAACAGCTTCCTTACCATCACATTTTTATGATGCTTTTCCTTGAGCTGAGTGCATCGAGGCAGTTCTGGAAGCCATTGGCTTTCATGTGTGATGGCCTTCTGCAATAATCTGCATGTTACGCAGCCATGCAAAGCTCCTGCTTTTGCTTACTCATGGCTAGAACTCATCTCACACCGTGTGTTTTTGGGCAGCTCCTTGCTCTGACTCCACAACAGAAAGCATGGGGAATGTTTGCCCCGCTGCTCAATGACTTGTTCAAGTTTCGGCTCCCTTGCTTCGCATTGTGGATCTTGAGAACCCCATCCAGCTTCTTTATAAGGTAAGCCTGAAACAACCCTCTGGGCTTCCTGTGCTTCTGCAAGACGTATCCCTTCTCTTTTGCAGGGCACTTTGCGGGTGCTGCTGGTGCTGCTCCATGACTTTCCAGAGTTTCTGTGCGATTTTCACTATGATTTCTGTGACTTGATTGCAGCAAACTGTATTCAAATGCGCAATCTAATCCTTAGTGCATTTCCTCGACACATGCGACTGCCTGATCCTTTCACACCGAACCTGAAGGTGGAAGTACTGCCAGAAATCACGCAAGCCCCTAGAGTCCTCACCAATTTTGCTTCAGTCATCCAGCCTCAGAGCTTCAAAAAGGCAAGTGTTGAAGCATAGAACATCTATAGTACTTGACTCTCTTGTCTCTTCTTTGTCTATGATGGGGGCACATCTGTGGTCTCAGTAAAGCCTGATTATGATGTGCACTTTTTTAGGGATAGAGATTATTTTGCTCTTTATTAACTTCTAGACATGACAGCCCAGAGTTTGTAGTTTCACACATTTTACAGCTGAGCTGTCTTGCCTCCCATCTGTCCATTTTGTGATGTAGATGGTAAACTATCATACTGGTGTGCACTTTCTTCTTGACCTGCTGCATTTTCTCAACACGCGTGGCTGGGGCGTGCTACCTTGCGGCACCGATTTGTCTTGTGTGGGATGCAATAACTCAGATTGTGAAAGATTAAGTACAGGGAGAGGAAATATACAGAAAGAAAGCTCCTACTTGGAGCCTGTCAGGTCTTTACAAATAAGTAAATAAAGAGAAAAACATCAAAAGACAGAAAAAAGAAACGGATACAAAAAGATTGAAACGGACACAAAAAAAAAAACTGAGAAGAAAGAAAGGGGGCAGAGATAGAAACATATGCAAAAATATTTTAATGCCAAGAGATATCCAATCGAACCCGATCGATACTTAGCCAATACTCGTGATTTACGTGTCATCACGTGAACACACTGTGCATTGGCACGTGCCTATACTCGGGGACAACTGTTTCTGTGGCAATGAAAGGGCATGTGCTATCGGCGTGTGTCACCACTGCAGAATATAGCGCCACAAATGCGTCTGTTTTCTGCGTGAAAATTATAAAAAAACATAATTATATCTTCTACGGGATGCTGTTTATAAAGAGACACTGAAGGAACCGAGGAGATATAATTATTTGTTTTTCTTTATGAAGTGTGATTTGGTATTTTGGGCGTGAGAAAACGTTACACATTTTAGTTGCACGTCATAATAAAAATGGCGTCTTCGCCTTTAGGAGAGTGCAAGTCGCCCTCTAGCTATTCTCACGACTCACCAAAGGAGCTTGTGTCGAATTTCCTTCATAAATGGCTGTGTAAGCAGATGTAGCAAGATTTATGCTGTGTTATTATTCGAACATGGTCGCTATTCGAAAAGCAAGTCTAGCTGGACTGCTTCACAAAGGAGTACATGTGCACTAGCTCCGCCCCCGGTAGCTTTCCCTTTATTGCCACAAACTTGCCACAGAAAATTGTCCCTGGGTATAGTAAAGCCAGAACCATGAGTAGTCAGTACTCGGCCCCAGCCTTGCACAACTCGGTGATAGCTGCACAAATTGTTTTGTAAACATTTCTGCACAATATGTTGAACACACTTTTTTTTTTACCATACATCTGTAGCTCTGTAAATGTGTTGCCGTTTTACATTTCGCTGACTCCCATGCCTTTTTTAGTGCTCCTTATTAACTCATTTCGTTCCTGCACTATTCAAATCGATCACCGGTGGTTGACTCTTTGGTTCATCAATTTTGGCCTGGTATATATGTTTCTCGTGCACCCAGCACTTTCTAGTAGTTAGTCCAGCCACTCAACTTTCAGAATCAATTTGAGTTTGCCCATTTCAGCAACATAGTGATTTGTGAAAGTCGTATTGCGCGAACCAATGTGCATGTGTTGTTGGAAAAATGCACTAACTGGCACACTTGAGAAAAGTGCGTGCCCCTCATGATTACGCTGCAGTAGCATTGAAGGCTGTGGGGTTTATACGTCTTCTGTGCCTGCGCCACGCCATGCAAACAACTTTATAAGGGGGTGTGCACCCCCACAAGTTCTGTAATCAGAAGAACCTTTGCTAGCCAAATATCAAATTATAGAGTCAGCTTTGCAATTTGACAGTGTTTAGCAGTAATAATTCCCAGAAATTTATTCCAGCTATTCAATAAAGAGCTGTTGCTGGAAGTCAGGCAAAATTTATTCTACAAAAAGTATTTCCGAAGGTCTGTCTATGTTTGAAGTTTCGAGTTGAAGGCTTCTGAGCCAGCTTCCAGCAGCTTTGGTTTCACTTGTATCGTTATATCAGACACAGGGTCGGATCTAGTGTTACTATTCCCTCCTATGGCGTCGTCACATGCGCATGGGCATGCACCAGTGCTGTAAAACACACGTACCGCTCGAAACTGCCTTGCAACCCTCCTGTACTGCATGAGGATGAGCTTAGGGTCCGTAGACTACAGAGCCCAAAAAAACTTCAAGTTGCGTGGCAATCATGTTTTGCGTCAGCCCGAGACATCTGCAGCTGTTCATGGGTTTGTTTTGTTTACAGACTCAAGTTGTCTTCTCCGCCACAAGTGCATAGCTACTGACCTTTATGCATGATCTTATAGCTACTCTGGTTATGTGCAAGGTCCACACTTTGCTGTGGCACGGTGTGCTGGTGGCGGATGCAGAGCATCTCCTAACGACGAAAAGGCAACCAGAGCATATCTTGGTTCTGACTACAGAGCAGCACTGTGATGTACGTGATATGTGTGCAAAAGATCTTCAGTTCTCCAATTTGTGCGCGGTAGTGGAAAACAACTGTGAGGACACTGGTGCACATGAAAAAATGCACCAATGTGGTCAGCTTGGGAGGACGAAGACGACGATTTAAGACATCAGCATGAGGACACTGTGTCAGCGGCATGAGAGTAAAGGGGCCCAACCAGCAGGTACCACGAAGATTTCAGGCGCCAATCATTTGTTGATGCAGCAACCCAGAAAGCCCCAATTCCGACGGGTCGACCCAAGGAGTGCCACGGCAGTCGGCGAGGGGCTCTTGGATCGGTCAGGCAGAAGTAGGGTGGAGGCAGTTCGCCAGCATTACGGTCGTGCTTTGCCCCGAGTGCCTGGCAGAGGTCAAGAGTCAGAGCGGCCTGCTTCGCTTGACCTCAAGCTTCGACGGTCCAGGGAGCCAGGGGGAAGCCACCGGGTCCACTGTCTGGCATTAGCCTGAATGCTTGGCTGTGGCCCCTGGTCCATGCGTCGGAGAAGAAGACTGCCTGCCTTCGTCGGCCCAATCTTCGGCACCAACCTGCTCCGTCGGTGCATACGCCTGAGCGTCACACTCCTCCTCGCAGAGTTCCTCCTCTAATGGCATCCCTGTGCTTGTGTGTGGCTGCATTTCCGATGGAGGCGGAAATGTTGTAGGCCCGTGTACTCAGATTTGGGTGCACGTTAAAGAAGCCCAGGTGGTCAAAATTTCCAGAGCCCTCTACTATGGCGCCTCTCATAATCAAATTGCGGTTTCGGGACGTTAAATCCCACATATCAATCAATCAATCAATCAATCAATCCCTGTGCTTGTGTCTGCTCTTCGTGGACGTCCGCGACGCCTCAGTAGCAGTTTTGCTCACCGGCGAGACTGTTTTGGTTATGATTGGACTAGGCTTCTTTTTGCGATGCTCAGAGCATTGTACATAGCTTGTAAGTTGTTTTGTTCTCATTAGTGCGTGTTGTGTGTTTCATATTCGTGTGTTGTTTTCATAAAGTGTGTAAAACAGAAAGCAGCCTCGCCGATTTTCTTAAGAGCTTTGCTGTCTTCGACAGAGCGCGCTCTTATTGGTCTCTTTATTCCAAAGTACCCCATCACAAGCACGAAACTTTTTAGAACTTCACGCTATATCGTTTTTTTCATACAATGTGCAAAATGCTAAGAAATATGCTTTCATGCAAAAATAGGAATGCCAACCTATGTGGAGTTAGGTGGCTCATGGAAAAAGGTTACGCTAGACGAAATAGCAAAGTTCATTGGACACCTGGCTTATAGAGGTATTATTCACATCATGGGTTTCTATCGATATTTGAACACTTGGAGGCTTTTATCCCAAAAAGGCAAAACTTTACCGAGTACGAGCAACGAAGCAGTGTCTCAGTTCTGATTTTTTTGTCTATCTGAACCAAAACATTTTCTACAACATTTATTATTGTTTACAGTGTTTCTGGGCCATTATTTTTAAAATGTGTATTCTGAGTTTTCTTTAAGTATTTTTGCATTTATACTGTTTTTTATTGCACTGTTTACCAGCTGGCAACCAAAACTTACACACTTCTCACATTTTTATTCATCCTATATTTTTGTTGCTCAACAAGATATATTTTTTGGAAAGAGCATTACATTTTCCTAAATTTGGTATGTTGCAATGCGTCCTGGAGTACTTTCCGAACTTGGGAGAACAATATTCCCAAGACATATGAAAAATAGCCATTTTCGCATGGTAACAAAAGAGTTAATGTGTATAGGCATTATGTCCTAACACTGCGACCTGATACTGCCAACATTCCATCCTCTGTTTGCAAAACTTATCTTTGCTGCATGCCACCGCTTAAAGAAGCAATATTCTGGCTCTTTTTGGTTTAACGAATTTCAATTTAGTGGGCTTCAATAGTCTGCTGTGTTATTATTTAAACTTGAACAAACCTTTGTGTGTAGCTATGTTAACTCACCTGTAGTACTACCACAGGCATTGCAGGCATTATTAAATGTGAAGCTTTTTGGGATTGGGCATTTTTTTGCAATCAACACTGTAATAATGGTGCCGTCAGGGTTTTCGTGTACATATTTTTAGTGTAAGAAGTGCTGGTGATGCCACATTAAGTGGCTACTTGCGCATGGCTAATTGGTATGGCCAAAAGCGGCAGAAGAACACACATCTGCTCGTGCCACGCCGCGGTGGTCTTGTGGCTAAGGTACTCGTCTATTGACTCGCAGGTCGCGGGATCGAACCCCGGTTGCGGTGACTGCATTTCCGATGAAGGCGGAAATGTTGTAGGCCCGTGTGCCTCAGATTTGGGTGCATGTTAAAGAACCCCAGCTGATCAAAATTTCTGTAGCCGTCCTCTACGGCGTCTCTCATAATCATATGGTGGTTTTGGGACGTTAAACCCCACACATCAATCAATCAACACCCATCTGCTCGTGACTTGGCAGCGACATTTTTGGTGCAAAATTTAAGGGGGCAAACTAGTTTTTAGGACCCAAAATCGACCAAAAAAATAAATTTGAAAAAAATGGCATATTTAGTTTCCGCAAGCACGTTACTTTGTTGAAATTTTTATGCTCCGGGAAGTGGTAATTTTTTTGTAATGTCATTCTGGCTGAGTATAATCTGGTGTCAGCAAAATGCAGAACCCCCCAAAAATGGGGAGCCTACTTTGAGGCATCTTAATAATTTGCCAGCACCCATGTTCGAAGCTCTGCTGCTAATCTATAAGCGCCTTGTCAAAAAGAGTTTCTACAAATGTGTCAAAAGTATAAATGAAAGCCTGTAAATTAATGCTGTAGGCCCGTGTGCTCAGATTTGGGTGCACATTAAGGAACCCAGGTGGTCAAAATTTCCGGAGCTCTCCACTACGGCATCTCTCATAATGATATGGTGGTTTGGGGATGTTAAACCGCATATATCAATCAAATGAAAGCCTTTATTCACATATTCAGGCTTTGGCATTTAATTAAGGAATAGCATGCCTCGCTATTAATAGTTGAATCTGCAGAAGCCAAGGTAGTTATGAAGTTAATTTGTGGCAATTTGGGAACCTCATTAAATATCTTTGCTGATCTCAATACAAAACCCAGTCTCCTAAGCATCAAATGGATGAGTGAGGAAGACAACCACAGAGCAGCTGAGTCAAATCTCCAGCATTCCGTAGCCAAGAGTGTTCAGTTTGCACTAAATAAGGGCCTTAGCAATGCTAAGTGGTTGTCACATAATATTTTTTGTGTTTATTGGTGCCCGCATCGCAAGATATGTACACCCTAGTTGTGTTTTGAAGAAACTGTGTATTATTGGTTTTTTTCATTTTTCTCAAAATGAAAATTCACAACTGTGTAATGTTGAGGCCATGATATCTGGGCAGCTAGAGAAAGTACAACAAGAATCCTTTTAGCAACAGAAACCTGCATGTGTATAAAATCGAAGTATGGGAGCAGAATTTAGAGCAGAAGCGTTTTTAATTACTCATCGAAATAGTAACACAATACAAACTGCTTTTTAATAATAGGAAGTTCATTCTGCAGTAAATTAATTAAGGTCAAAAACAACAAAAAAACATGCATACTTCGAGCGCTAGTCATTAGACTGTGTTGCAATATTCTAAATATCACTTTTCAAACACTTTTCTTTCTATCGATACCATAAACAATAAGGAGTGAACTTGAGTTATCTAAGGAACAATATGAGTTACAGGAAAAGCAATAAATATTTGAAATAAGCTGAAAAAACTGCAGAAGCCTGTGTAGTTTCATCAAGATCGCTGAAGAAATTAATAAAGAATTGTCTAAGATGCTGCTCCTTTAATGCTGCTCTCCTGCTTGTTTCAGGATTTGGACTCCTATATCAAAACATGGGGTCCTGTGACATTTCTATCAGAACTTCACAGCAATCTTCAGGAAACAACTGAACCTGGCATTAACTACAATGTGCCATTGATGAATGCACTGGTGCTCTATGTGGGCACCCAGGCTATTGCTTACATTCAAAGCAAAAGCCCGATTCCCAGCATGAGCACAATTACTCATTCATCGCACATGGACATATTCCAGAACGTGGCTGTTGACTTGAACACTGAAGGTAAGAGCAGAGGAGAGCACCTGTTTCAGCGGCTGTTTTTTTATAGCATCAGTTACCTGAGGCTAACAGAAAATGTTTGTTGTATTGAACATGTGGCTATGGACATTATGTCTGTGACAAAAGCCCAAGAAAGATGTTCTGTACATCAGTGCAGTAATTTACTGATTGAGCTCTGTCAGCCAGTCATTAAGCGTGCAGACAGAAGCCACATTTTGTGCCATCAGTAAATGCAACTATGGGATATGATGTAATGGTTGTGGTCATTATATAATTTATGTAGAATGCATGCTTTTGAATGTGACGCTTTTTTTTTTTTGCAAAAAATGCACTTTCAATCTACCACCTACATCAGGATGCTCTCAAGGTCATCTACTTAGCTTGGTAATTATACACCGAAATCGGCATAGCTGGGTATGAGTGTAGGACAATAATGATTGACAGGCTATGGAATCACTGACGTGCCAGTTGTGTACAGGTGTGCGCATAAGTGTGCAGCTCACGTGGCCGAAGGCATCCAGGCGTTATCTAGCGACGAGATGCCTGCTACGGTGTGCATGCGACCCGTCAAATCAGTTGGCCTTTGATGGCGCTCTCTCTGATGTGCTCGTAGCCAAAACAACAACTGGGTGTCGCTGTCTTTGCTCCATCCAATTTGTGCCTTTTTTTTTAACATAGCGGCCGTGACTGCACCAGTTCCAGTTCCAGGCCTGTATTGTTATTTATACCGGTCTGTTAGCATAACTAAGCGTAGCAAGCCTCGCAAGACCTGATGGAGCCAAGCACACCAAATTACATTTTCTCAGCCCAGCTTGCCCTTGTTACGCTAAGTCAAGCTGAACTTAAATGAGCCTCGCTATGATGGAACAAGCACTAATAAGTACGAAGACGTATATAAAATGAGTTTTAAGGTGAATCAGATTTATTTGCACCTAATAAGACTAGACTCTGATTAGTAATTAGTATTTTTTTCTGCTTGGATTCACCCCGCCGCGGTGGCCTAGTGGCTAAGGTACTCATCTGCTGACCCGCAGGTCGCGGGATCGAATCCTGGCTACGAGGGCTGCATTTCCAATGGAGGCGAAAATGTTTTAAGCCCGTGTGCTCAGATTTGAGTGCATGTTAAAGAACCCCAGGTGGACAAAATTTCTGGAGCCCTCCACTACAGCATCTCTCATAATCATATGGTGGTTTCGGGACATTAAACCCCACATATCAATCAATCAATCAGCTTGGATTCTCTAGACTCATAAAAATTAATCTTTTCATCATTGCATTCTGCTTTTAGTCCTTGAAAAACCTGTGACAGCTCCTTGTATATCCTTGAATTTTCCCTTTGGAAATCTGTACTAACCATGTTAATGGGTATAGTGTCAGTAGGGAGTAATTAGTTTCTTCCTGGGTTTGGCGCCTTTAAGCTTATGGGGAAGTCAACTTAGTCTAATTGGCCACGATAAGATTTGCCTCATTTTGGCTAATTTTGCTAGGCTAAATTAAATAATACTTGATCAACTTGATCAACCTTCGTGACCCATCCGGCCGTCTCGCACGATGGGCCATTCGTTTGCAAGAATAGGTTTTCATCATTTCATACAAGACTGACCGTCTACACGCTGATGCGGATTGCCTCTCTAGGATGCCGCTACCCACGACAGATTGTGAAGCCGATAACATTGACCACCTTATCGCTTCTTTGTCGTCTGGCTTTTCCGATGCCGTGACTTTTGCCACTGAGCAGCGTAATGACCCAAGCTTGAAAGCTCTCTTTCCTGGAGCAAGGAAGTCAATAAGCAAAGGACGATTCTGCGTGCGAAATCGTCTTCTTTATCAGAGAAACTTGTCCATGACGGGCTCCCGCTTTGTGCTGGTTGTTCCTGTGTCCCTCCAAACGTCTGTTCTGCATCTCACGCATGATGACCCCAGCTCTGGCCATCTAGGAACCGCACGAACACTTAGTTGCACGAAAGAGTGGTTCTATTGGCCGAAAATGAACAAGACAATTCAAAGCTACGTGGCCAGCTGTATGCAGTGTCAGAGCCACAAGCAGCCCACCTCTGATCCAGTCGGTCACCTGCAACTTGTAAAGCCTTCCGGTTCCCCTTTGAAAATGTCGGCATTGATCTGATGGGACCATTTGCACGCCCCTCAAAAGGTAATCGGTCGATAATTGTATGTGCCGACTACCTGACGTGGTACTGCGAGATGGCTGCCTTATCCTCCGCCACGGTAGTCCAGGTTTCGGAGTTCCTGTTGCATTCAGTCATCCTCCGACACGGGCCACCTCGAGTGATTGTAAGTGACCGTGGACGACCATTTACCGCTGATATTGTGGAATCATTACTTCGTTTGAGTGCCTCCAAGTTCCGACACTCAACTGCGTATCATTCACAAACTAACGGCCTGACCGGGCGCACAAACCGAACGTTCATCAACATGTTTTCAATGTACGTCACCTCCGACCACAAAAACTGGGATGAAGTATTACCATTCGTTATGTATGCCTTCAACGCGGCGAAACACGAAACGACAGGCTACAGCCCTTTCTATCTGCTCTACGCCCGCTCACATCGACATATGCTGGACACTATCTTTCCATTTGTCGTCCATGATGATTTAACAACTGCGGAAACTTTGTGTCGTGCGAAAGAGACACTTCTATTCACCTGCTTACGAACACTGGCAGTGCAAGAGTCCTCCAAAACTCGCTACGACAGTCAACACCGACATGTAACCTATGCCTCGGTGATCTAGTGTGGTTGTGGACGCCAATACCCAGACGTGGCTTGAGCCAAAAGCTACTGGCACACTACGCCGGTCCGTTCGTGATACTCTATCATCTCAACGAGGTCAACTACGAAATTGCACGTGTCACCACTAGTGCCCGACGTTCACGCAAGACAGAGGTGACGCATGTTGCCCGCCTGAAGCCGTTTACACGAAGGATACAAGAATGACTCACCCAGAGGGCTTCGTCTGAGACAGGAGGAATGATACGAAGTGTCATTACCAGGAAAAACAAGAGAAGCACGGGTAGAGAAGGAAGATGACGTTGCTTCTACTGTGATTGCGGACTAAGTGCCCATTAACCTCCCCTCCCCCCTCTTTAAGTTACTTTACCTTACGGAACAATATGAATAAGAACGGAGGCTGCATTGCATCCATGCGGGCAGGCGAGCAGAGTATGTTCTGCTCTTGCTTTTTTATCTAGTGGTATCGGGCTGCATTCTAAATCGAAAAGCGTGTCTCTGCTAGCTGTATCCAATCATCAAGACTGCCACCAGTGGAAACAAGGGCCAAACAGCAGCATTTAACAAGTCATTTGTCCAAAATAAAACTAGCATAATAAGCAGCAGGCGGCACATGTAACGATTTTTTTAATCTGATCACCACCCCAAAGCTGCCTCTTATCGCCCCGCGTAATTTCAAAGAATGCGATAGGCAGGTAGTCTACATTATTTGTAAGCAGTTTTATAGAAGGAAAACTACTATGTCTACAAGGTGTTTGTGGTGGCACGATCACCTACACCGGTCAATTAGCATTAAACAAATTTTGTCTTGGATTACGCATGTGAGGAATACTCATTGCTGAGATGCCTCTGTTTAACTTAGTGCTTTAGCATTTTCATTTTTTCGCTTGCCTGTGTATTCTCAGAGTAAAGGTGTTTGATCAACATCAATGATTGCTAAGGTTTTATATGCCAAACAAGGTACGGTTATAAGGCACACCGTAGTGTGGGTACCAGAATTAATTTTGACCACTTGGTGTTCTCTAATGTGCCCATAAAATTAAGTACACAGGTGCTCTTTGTATTTCATCCGCATTTAAATGCAGCCGCTGTGGCCGAGATTCTGACACCATACATGTTATGCTACCACGGTGGTTTGCTTGATCAACAGCCACAATACAAACAGCACATTGGGAATACATAGCACGCCAGAAAAAAAAATTAAATCGACGCAGCTACCCCTTGCCTTTATTTTTCTATTGCAGAAATGGGTAGCATAGTATCAACGCAGCACATACTTATCGATGTAGATGTGTCAGCCTGCACAAGATTGATGCATATCTCATCAAGCAGTTTTTAAACTGTTGAGGAAAAAATCTCAATTACAATGCAACACTGCTTCTTCGACACCATAAGCATACATTGGTGCAGCCTGCATTGCAGAGCTTCCCAATGACGTTGAATGTGCACACTACTATGTGCTCAATTTACACAAAGACGTTGATCCACCTTTGTAGGGTTTCTTTTAAAACCAAACAGTGTGGCATTAAGAGCTTGTTGACTGCTCTGCATGAAATTGATTCCCACAAAGTGTGAAAGCCCACTGTAATGACGTTTTTAGCTTTAGCCACCCTAACCTAAACAAGTTGCACCATTGGCCTTTGTCGGGATTTGCTGTTTGTCTTGTCAAATTATTTGAAACTTCAAATACTAGTTATTCAAAAGTCTAATCGAATTATTCTATTAAGTATTACAGTTGTAGAGAGGAAGAAGATTATGTGCCGCAGTGGGGCACGCCTTTAGCGAGAGGAGCCAAGCGCGAGCGTTTCCCCGAGGGCTGTGATTCCTGGTTCCGTTGCTGCCGCCCGCTTTCAGCATCAATAGACCTGCTGTTCAAGTACTACTTGTGCCAATAAACCCCGTTTTAGAGTGGTGGAGGTGCGGGGTAACTCAACCTGGAACTCCGCAACAGGAAACTACCTGCCATCCCAGAAATGGCTGAAGAAAACACCCAGCAAGGTACGACTCAGCCTCCGATGGTCATCGTGCCCACTGCACTACGGGTGCGCGATCCACCTTTCTTCGACGGTACCGATGAGCAAGACGTAGATGATTGGCTGTCGACATTTGAAAATGTAGGGGCAAGCAACAAGTGGGACGACACATCGAAGCTGCAATATGTACCCTTCTACCTGAAAGAGGTAGCGAGTCTCTGGTTCAACAACCACCACTCAGAATTCGCCACTTGGGGTGCTTTTAAGCTACGCATTACCGATG